TTTTTCCTTAGAAAAGGCCCTTTCTGGGCTAAATTTGATCTGGGTACAGAAAAGTTTTATTGTGAAAGGCCCAGTTTTTTTGGAGAAAGAACCCCGTTGCGATCTACATAAGGCCGCACCTGGTCCATCTGTGTATTATTTTCCTGACATTTGTGCTTTTTACAAAGTTACCTCTGCAAGGTAACCCGTACAACCATGAGTAACCATATCACCCCAGTTTTAAAAAAGTTACAGGATCTTATTTAGATTTCTAGTCTTTGTTCATGATGCTTTTTACAAAGGTGCACCGATCTACTTAGTTTCCAGCAAAAAACTTGCGGTCTGTAGACAAATTGTTACTTAAGCCAGTAAAAATGCGCCTAAAAACTTATGGTGACATTTCTTTTAATCAGCAGGCTCAAAGAAATGGGATATATTACTACTGGAAATCTGATCCATTGAGTCTACCTCAAGCATTTTAAAAAAGAATTGAAGACATACCTATTCAGGACATTTATTGACTAATCAACTTTTAAATTGATTTTACAAATGTTATAGTAAATGCATTTGTGCACTGTAAGAAATAAGGCTGTTCTACCCATTATTTTTTCTGAGTGCAAATAAGGCTGTTTTTTCCTAGAATTGATTATTTTTTCTTAACAAACATTTTAGTTGTGTACTATAAGTGATTTTATGTGAGAATCAGTGTTTTATCTAGAATGCTCTTAATTAATTTATTTATTTATTTATTTATTTATTTATTTATTTTATTTATTATTATTATTATTTTTTTTTTTTTGTCGTTAAGCTCTGTAATTATATTTTCCTATTCCTAATAATTGATGTCTTAAGTAATTGTTTTATGTATATGTAGTCTTCTGAAGATGTTATAATGGATTTTAGGCTCAAAATAAATTTATTATCATTATTATTATTATTATATTTTGATTGATTACACTGGCACTGTTATGTCCAATAATTAATATAGGCGCCCCAAGGAAATATAATATATTCTTATACTCTGTGTTGGATTTTTTATGTGAGGTTTACTTTTGCGCTTAGATTGGAGAAGAAACCGTGACCTCTTTTATGAACAAGTATTTTTAATTATGATTTATTTTAAATTTAAATTATAATTAAATCAAACTACTATGATAATAATCTAACTTACTGATTTGTATTTATTTTATTGTGAAGAAGTGGCTCTAGTAAATTACACCTACTTTGGTAATGGTATAAATAATATCCTGAGTTAACTTATCTCAACTTCCATCAACTTTTGCGAACTATTATATCATGGCAGTATGGCACATTGATAATTGTTAAATTACAGAAACTATGACGTCATGAGCCCATCTAGTGATATGTGTACAGCAATAAGTAAATATGACATGAAGTAGTTATGTTTTGGATCAACTCCTGTTGCTGTCTCGGTTTGTGCAGTTGCAGTCCCTGAGTTAAGGGGGGCGATCGATACATTAGGATTTTTTATCTGCTTAGATGTAGCAGAGATAAAGATTGTTATTTTATGAGATTAAACTATCGTATAAAATAAAAACATCGTGTTGACTTTGCTAGCGCGAGCTGAGAACTTTTTTTTCGAGGGGAGGGGGGGTGAACCTGAACAGCTATTAATCAACGCTGTTGAACGCCTAATCTATCACGACAATGATAATATTTACCACAATCCAGTGGATGAATAATAATCTAGTGAATTAATTATGTCTAGAAAGACCTACTTGTGATTTTGATCGAACATCGTAATTAGGGGCGCATGTCTCCTGAAATAAAATAACAATAAATAAAACCAAACGCTTGCGCTAGGTTGTTGTTCTCACCTTCGTCGACGTCCGTGCCAATTTCCATGACAACGTCTAAGGTACCGATTAGTATCTTCCAACAAAGTTGCAAAACCGTTAAATTGCAGACCCACGATTGCGGGGTGATGGTTAAAGCAACAAAAAGCAACTATTTTGCCGAATGTTAGCCTTTAATAGTATACTTATCGCATCTCTTAAATGTCCTATTTACATTGTGGGTAGGTTCGTTAATTAATCGATTGATAACATGGTCTCCCCAGATTTAATCATATAATTCATTTCTTAGCCATCACACTTTGCCCCCCCCCCCCCC